TTTTCGTGGGCTACGCATCCGAAGAAGTGGGCTGTAGCCCACGAAAGCTTATGCTCTAATAAATTTGTTAGTCTCTAATGTGCCACAAGTACTCCTGTTCTTTTTGAGTGATTTTTATGTATCCTGTTGTAAAACTAGGCAAATATCTAGATGAGTTGATTTACCCACTGTGTTGAGAACCACTGCTCTAAGTGGACCAGCCTATATAGGGAGACACCATAGTTTCTGAAACAGCCATGGAACACTGGGCATCAGGACCCTTTGGTTTATACTGTACGGCGTGGGAGCACATTGTGGTTACAGCCAGCATAGCCAAAAGTAACAACCCCCGTTTGGGTCATATGAGACCCTGAACCTGGGATCTCTGGATGTAAAAATGTGAAGAGCTACCACTTGAGCTAAAGAACCCTTAGAGTGTCATGGTGGGTTACAGAATCACTTAAACTGATATGTCCCGTGGAAAGAGTTTGGCAAAGTGGATGAGACTTGATGCTGTTATATCAGCGATTCTATTCTATTCCCAGTTCTACTAGTGACCATGGGTAAGTTCTTGGTTACATGTGTGAGATCTTGTTCATAATATGGGTTATGAAGGACACAGAAGTATTGTCAGTCGAAGAGCTGGGACTAGAATTCGTGGTATCTCGGCTTGTAATTCATTGGACTTTCCTCTAGGCTACAGGGCATTATATGGAAACAGAGCCCTCCCCCTCCCAACACACACCAATAGAGCTTTTAGTATCATCATGAGACTCTTCGCAGCCAGAGCCAAAGTCACATTAATCTCAATAAAGGTGAATTGGCAACACTGCTCTGCAGTTTAGTGTTGAGTAGTTCTCTGTTGGGCTGTGCTAGCCAATTGTCCTTTAACATGGGAAATGCCTAATGGCCACAGACAAGAGCTGAGTTAGAGGGACCAAGGTGACAGTCAGGTTCTATTTTATTAATAGGGTGCAGTATAACACTATTTACATATCTGCCTCCCAGGACATTTGTGCAGATTAATTGTTTATACATGGCTATAAACATGTGAAGCAACACATACACGCACAACCATTAAAAGCATTAGTGTATCTGATTGTAATGTTACCAACAATAATGCTGGAACAGTATAGCTGAGCTATTTTGCAAATTTTATCTTCTGTTTTTTTTTCCTCCAAAGTCGTTTAAGTTGTTGGCGTTAGTCTGAAAGGTCTGATTTCTACAAACTAAAAGGACTTGTGCTAGGGTTGCCAACCCTCCAGGATTGTCCTGGAGTCTCCAGGAATTGAAGATTAATTTTTCATTAAATATTGTCATGTGATTAAATCTCCAGAATTGGTCCAACCAAAGTTGGCAACCCTAGACTATGCTCAGACCTATGAGCATTGACCATCACCACTTTCTGCATAAATGTATTTTAGTCTCCTCTCCACGTGTTGTAAAGGGTTAAACCGTGATGTAAAATCTGATAATAATACCTGATCTTTAAGTTGGCATCAGGACACAATGGCTGAGCTGATGATAGTCTCTCAACAGCCCAAGAAAGGGCGTTTGAAATAATGCAAACCAGAAAGATAATGATTAAGCACTGATGGTAGCAGTATACATCAGAGATGCTGCATTAATGTCTTTGAAAATCAGCCAATATACTGTCCATGGACTCTTTCTGTACAAAATCACGTACCAGCCGGATGTATTAGTTTACATAAATGATAGCAGTGAGCACCAGAGCAGCACTGAACAAAAGATAATAAAGTAGCCTCAAGCATTACTGCATACAAAACATATGTTGGAAACTTTTCAGCTTGATGGATAAGGTGTTTGCAAACGATCCTGTGATAGGGCATTATTCTTAGCCAAGTAATTCCACTTATCCATGTGTCAAACTTACTTATTAATTGTACAAAAACAAAACACTTGAAATTTTAAAACAATTACATAAAAAAGATAAAACTCTGCTAAGAATGCTTTAATTATAGGGAAGTGGAGAAATATCCCATAAGCAAGAGTCGTTATTACACGTACCGCCCTCACAGGGGTAGGAAGGGAGTTGGTGAGGCTTAGTGGTTAGCTCATTATGACCAGATTATCCCCAGCCCTGGAGGGATGCTCAAGGGAGGAGAGGGCACAAATTTCTGGCTACAATTGTGCACAAGATCTAGGCACAATTGCAGCCTAGACTGGCATTAGGCTTTCTGAAAGAAATGAGAGTGGTTGATGGCCCCTCCCACTTCTGCACCATATCAGTGGAGTTGGCCTCCTGTGAAAGAAGCGCACATTGCACCCTGGAAGAGGGTAGCACAACGGCCATGCTCCCAGGTACCCACATAGGCATCTTGCTTTGGTCTGAGACATAGTACTCCTGGATCTTCCCTGTAGCTTAAAGCCACAATTGAGCCCTTGATGTTTGTAGCGTGTGAGATTTATTCTTAGATGAAACATGCTGTGGAAGTACAGCCTATACAAATTTGATTTTCACTCCTTTTTCTTCTCTTTTTCCCCACAGCCCTCATTGGTGCCTGTGGAGGGAACTACACCTCCCCAACATCTGTGATCTATTCCCCAGATTTCCCTGACACCTATGCCACAGGCAGGGTCTGCTACTGGACCATACAAATTCCAGGAGCATCTCAGATCCAGTTCGACTTCACTCTCTTTGACATCAAGGACTCTACAGACATGGTGGAGGTGCTGGATGGCTACACCTATCATGTGCTGGCTCGTTTTGATGGCAGGAACCAGCCTCCCATCTCTTTTAATGTCTCTTTGGATTTTGTCATTTTGTATTTTTTCTCAGATCAAATCAATCAGGCCCAGGGATTTGCTGTCGTGTACAGAGGTAAGAGGCTAATGCTCCATACCTAGCTCCCAATGGATCATTTTTCTAAGGTGTTTAGACCACATAAAGACTTGCCCTACAGACACAGAGAAAGCACATATTTTAACTGATGTTGTACATCTAAGGGTCCTCCATTTAGTGTAGTCGGAGTTCCGGGAGTAAGGCCTCCCACCCAAACTTCTGTCTTGATTTAGTAGTCTGCCCTTCAGCAGTTTCTCAAATAACTATGTGCTAACCGAAAAGCACATTCCCCTCGTCCCCCTCCCCCACACCTGACATGGTGGAGCTGAAAGAAAGACTGAAGTTTAAATAAAATGGTGCCAGTAGTCTAGCTGCACCTTCTGTTTTTTCTTAGCTCTTTCCAACTCCCTGTATGTTCCACTCAGACTGAAAGTGTCCTGGGATTCTGTGACTGTACCAATTACATTCAAGTCATTTTGCTCAGATCATTTTCATCTTGTCTATGCTAGAACACTCACCATTGCTCGTGCCAGCAAAGCTGTATTGGTGTAAGAAAATTTTAGGGAAAAAGGCATAGGTGCTGGAGGTGTTGTGGTACCCGCTGGCTCAAAGTGGCTTCCATCATGTACAGTTTGGATCAAGGGCTCTTTGCACCCCTGCTATACAAATTGTTCCAGCACCTCTGGAAAATGATAGTGTAGACACAGCCTTTGTTGTTCTGTGTATCTCTTGTATCTTCAGAGTTTCTAATTGTATGTCTTGTAGATAGAGACCTGTCCCTCTCCTCAGTGACAGCCGGTGGACAGATGGCCACTCATACTAATTTTACCAGTCCACAATGAAACTACCATAGAATGCTTCAACTCTTCAAGCAATGTGTTGTCCCCAAAACAGATTAACTAGAGACATGACTTTAAGTTTCACTAAGCAAACTAGATTTTTTAATAGCAAGTAGGTTGTACAAAAAGAAAAACACATGCTAAACAAAAGACGCTGAATATTTAACTGCAATCCTTAGCATTGTCTCCTGAGATCTGGAGAAGCCATTATGTTGTCCTAATTACAAAACAATGTATATTATCCCTCTGAGACACAGTGCAGCTGCTTTTCTCTGATCCTTCAAGATAAGCAAGGTCTCTCTCCTTTTTCTGACACTCCCACTCCCTGCTGCTTGGCCTCAGTTTATAGACCGGTAGAAGAGTCTCCTTTTCAGCATCGTAGGGAGCAAGCATGAGATAGTATTCTAACTGATATGGATCTTCCTGTCTTTTTCTGGGCCACAGCCTTTTTCTTCAAAACAATTCAATAACCCTAAGGAGGCACCTGGCGAGAGTTTGGCTTTTTCATGTATCTGTGATTATTGGAGAAACTCCCTCTGGAATTATTAGGCTAGATTTAGGAGTTGTGCCTTCTGAGCGGCACAGTCTAAAAGGAGAGTCTGTCTCTGCTGGGAGCTGCTTTGGCCCCCTAGGGCTGCTCTAATGTATGGTAGCTTCCCTACAGCTGCTAATGGGCTGCTGTATAGCCCAGAAAGACTGTATCACTGAGTGCTTATTGCTACGCTCTCTCCTACTTTGGCGAGCCCCCCTACAGTTGGTGCTGCAAAGGGGACGGGCACAAGGCCGCATATGCCAGCTTCACATAGCTCCTGTGCTGGAGAAAATTGCCCCTGGGCTGTTGCAGCCCTTTTATGGCCCTTATATGCCTCCAAAGCAGAGTATATGGGTTGGGTCCAGAATCTGGCCCATTCTCCTTTATATATGTCTCTATTTATCATCTAAGGTTTTAGAAGGAAAACATTTTGGTCCTTGAATAGGTCCAATAGAGTTCTTATGAACAATTAACATTCAGAAAATCCATGCTGTTTGCAGCATAGTGACTGATAAGACTTTCCTAGCATCAGCCATTAAATAATAGTATATGTTCCCAGTATAAGACAGACAGAGTCGCAGTTCTTGTGTAACAAAATACAAAGTCAAAAACTATGCCCAAATAAGTAAATTAAGGTCTTGTTTGTATAACTTCTTGTATTTTCAGCTACCAAAGAAAAGCTACACCAGGACATTACTACAGTCGATCAGAAATTTACTGAGGTGATAACTGAACAAGCAAATCTCCGCATCAATGCAGCCCAGTCTTCAAAGATACTTTATGTCATCACAACCAGCCCGAGTCATCCCCCTAGCATCATGCCTGGTAATATCCAAAGGGAATTGATGGGCAGAAACAACAGGGAAAATGCACTGATATACAGATTATGAAATGGCTTACTTTGTCTTTTCATTCTCTGTGTGCTGCATTAGTGATGTACATTTACTGTATAGGACAGTGCATTGAACAAATAAGAGTAGGCTAGATCAGAGTGACACGAAGTGGTGCTAAATGCACATGGGGAGAAGCAGAGGGTCATTAGGTGGTTTTACTCTACCTCTGTGTTACCCTGATACTTGAGACTGCTGAGGGCCTCGGAGCTTCTCTAACTTGCATTTTCAAATACAAGTCCCCCCTTGGGGCTGTTCTATCAGCCATGATTGCCAGAGCATGTTGCACCATACTATCCCACCCATGACATGCTGAAGCCTGAGTGTGGAGGAAAGGCCAGGAGGCACTTGTGCTGCACTAGTTTAGAACTCTTTTGTTCTAGGAGTATCTTCAGCTGCTGCTGTTGAGCAATAGTCAACATGGTTTCTGTAAAGGGAAATCGTGTCTTACTAATCTATTAGAGTTCTTTGAAGGGGTCAACAAACATGTGGACAAGGGGGATCCAGTGGACATAGTGTACTTAGATTTCCAGAAAGCCTTTGACAAGGTCCCTCATCAAAGGCTCTTATGTAAATTAAGCTGCCATGGGATAAAAGGGAAGGTCCTTTCATGGATTGAGAACTGGTTAAAAGAGAGGGAACAAAGGGTAGGAATTAATGGTAAATTCTCAGAATGGAGAGGGGTAACTAGTGGTGTTCCCCAAGGGTCAGTCCTCGGACCGATCCTATTCAACTTATTC